CGCCGTTTGCCTACATGGCCTGTCTAGTCTTCAAAGCGCTTTACACACTCGTTCTCCTCAGCCTCCAAGGAAAGAGACACATATCCTCCCCTCCAGTTTACTGCTGAGAACTAAGCCCAAGAGCCGGTTGATGGAGGGTCTTGTCTACATGGGGGTTTGAAGCTAAGAGGCCGGTGTCATAGCCGCCATTAGGATGCTGACATTCCGGCCTCCCGGTTCTTTCCTCAGCTCCTTCCTCAATCTGTATCCCGGACTCTGAACTAAGCTGCAGTCCAGCCACCTCTACCCAGCTGGGTTCCAACTGCAATCACCAAACAAAGCTTTAAGAGTCACGCTGGATAATTAGCACCTCTGTCTCCAGGGTGTTGACTGTGTAAAGTCACCCCACACCACTGATCATTAAATAGGTAATGCTCATTGACTCACAATATTGATATCCGGTGGCTCAAGGGCCGCCGGTCTTCTTTCGACTAGACAGATTAGGAATATCCTGTACAACAACTGCCGTCACCCAGGAATGCCCCGTTGTCCCCAAATTAATGCAACACTCACACAGAACTTGGGCAGCCGCAGCGATGCGACCCAGCCCCTCCTGCTCCAAGACAAACGTCCATTTCAGTCGAGGGGGGGAAAAAGGAGACTCCCCCTTAGCAATACAAGGCCTATTTAACACAGATGAGAGGTTTGATTCCATCCAGTGGAAGGCGGCGATACATGGACGGAATTAACCAGCACAACATAGCAAGTCTTAAACCAAAGCTTGTTTTCAGCAGGCATTGGGCACAGGGCCGGCTCCAGGCACCAGTGAAGGAAGCAGGTGCTTGGGGCGGCCAATGGAAAGGGGCGGCACGTCCGGGTCTTCAGCGGTGGGTCCCTCAGTCCCTCTCGGAGCAAAGGACTCGCCGCCGAAGAATTAAGCGACGTGGTAGAGCTGCCGCCGATTGGGGCTCTCTTCTTTTTTCCCCTCCTTCCCCCGCTTTGCTGCTTTGGGCGGCAAAAAAGCTGGAGCCAGCCCTGATTGGGTGATGTAGTGCTCTGGCGAAGGATCAACTAGAGTTTTGCCAGGCTTAATCAAACGTCTCAGTCAGGGCAAGCACTAGCTCTGCAGACACCAGTCGAGCGTTTGGCTGGAGAGGTGTCAGGGCATTGCTGGAAGACTAAGGGACACCCAGTTTATTAAGCGCCCCACAACAAAGCTGTCACTTGTCTCTATGGACCTGCCAGGTCACAACCACTTGTTGCACGTGTAAAATAAAACAGGGATTTACTGTCAAACACAGGCTGGCGGAGAGAGGACAGAGCGTGTTGCAGGCAGCGTGGAAAGCTCTTGTGCTGAGCTTAGAGCAAACTTTGGAAATTAGACACACAAGAAGCACCTGGAGGGCAGGGCTCTCTCCAGATAGGCCAGGATATTCCCTGCTACGCTCCCCCACACATCAGAACAGAGGCAATAATGCTCCCACAAGTTGCCTCTTGTGTGTATTGATTTAAATACTATTTAAACTACCAGAAGGGGACTTGAGAGTTAGCTCTCCTTGCCACACTGGCCTGGCCACTAACATTGCTAAAGGGCTAACGACGACACAGCCACATTCCAGGCAAGCATGGGGAGGTGATCAGCAGTCACTTGGCAATATTTAATAGATCCCAACACCCAAAAGAGGATAAACGTCCCTGCCTATTTACAGATGGGCAAGTCACTTTCCCTCTATGTGCCTCCATTTCCCCAGTCACTCAGTGAAGCTGTGGCAACGCTGGCAGTGGCACCCAGGAGTCCAAGCTCCCAGTCCCTTGCTCTAGCTATTAACAATGCAGCATCTCTTCCTTTCCCTCCATAAGAAGTTAGGAAAATTCATAGGGGTGCTAGGCCAGTCATGAAACGTTAATAAGGGGGGATGAGGGGCAGCGTTGCACACATGAATCCACTTAGAGAGCACAGACAATATTTTGGAGATTGAGTTGAACCTAGGGGGAAATTCAGGGTAGGGTTTGAGAGTACAACGCAGCTGCGACCCTTAAGGATTTCAGCCCTGGGAGGAGTGAACCCGCTTGACCACTGTGAGAGCGGGAGACCTGCTTCCACCCCTCCATCAGGCTTAGAGGAAGCTGTTCACATCACTGGATTACTGTAAGCAAGGAGAATGAAGATGGTTGGGCCAATGGCAAGCAAGCTCGCCTGAATACCAGGAACAGCTTCCCAAGAGCAGGGGAGATCTGCTAAAGGATGGAACAGTCCTCAGGATAAGCCCACACTGCAATTTAAGCCCAGGGTTTGAACTCAGGCTCAAGCCTAACCCCCGTTCTGTCTACACACAAATGGTGCTAACCCAGGGTCCCAGGCTGGGTCAAGCCCGGACCCAGGGTTCAAGCCCTATTGCTTTGCAGTGTAGATGCAGCCTCACTGGACTTGTGCTCAGAGGGGATGTCTACACTGCGATAATAAAACCCACAGCACCGACCAAGTCTCAAAGCCCAGGTCAGCTGACTCTGGCTCCAGGGCTAAAAACTGCAGTGTAGACATCCAGGCTGGGGCTGGAGCCCATGCTGTGAGACCAACCTCTCACGTCATGGATATTTTCTCACAATGTAGAGGTACGGTGGGAGTCCGCCAGAAGTACTCCACAGTCCCATGGGCTGACTTTCTTTGTCCTCTGGGCAGTCAAGTTTTCCCACACTGCACCACAAACAAAGGGCTAGAGCTGCCACACTTGGGGAGGGTGCTAGGGAAGTCTGGGGTGTGGGTGGTTGAACATGAAACGTAGACTCTGGAGCCCCAGCGTCCTACAAGTCCTAACCTGGAGTTAAAAAGGAGTGTAGACGCTCAAACCTTAGGTTAACAATCCCAGGGGCTGTTAACTCGAGGCCTACTAGCCCTGGACTGACATTGGAGTGTAGACAGACCCCCGGAGAGAACTGGTGAAAGCACTGTTATTCCAGGAGACTTAAAACTAACCGGATACAGGAGACAAGACTGTAGGGAGCAATTACACACTAGTATAGTGTGGACTGGATGATCTCCAAGGCCTTCCCAATCTCTGAACTTCCATGATTCACTTCCTCCTTTCCTTAATGGACATGCAGATAATAAAGTATCCGATTCGACACAGCCACATTTAACACGAGCAGACTGCACTGCAGCCATCCCAGAAGGGAAAAGAACTAACCTAAATACCAAGAGCCCTCGAGGCAAGTGCCCTGGAAATAAACATTCCAGCACATATTGCACGTGAACGTGCCCATCACTGTAGCCTCGACTTATGTTTGGAGACAGTCATAGGATTCCAGCTGAGACTAACCCATATTCCCCAGGGGAGTCTGGCAATCAGCCCATGAGACAAACCTGATAACTGATGGAATACCGGGTTATCCCATCTACCCAGCCGCCCCTATTTAGGGGACAGAGTCCCTTTTTGCTCTCGCCAGTAAAAGAAATATTTATCACTTTTCCCCTCTGGAAAGATCTCCTGTTCCAATGCATTTTTAATGGCGTTAAATTGTAAGAAGGAGATTAGAAGCACCTCAGGGCTGTGGGAGTCTATCCATGAATTTCTCATATGCCCGTCTTCGCACTATCCAGGGGCTAATTACAAGGATTAGTGGAACCATCAACAATGCCCAGCCAGAAGCACGTTGGAGGCTGAGTCGACAGACCAGCCCTGGATGTTAATTCTACACTATGTGGTTCCCTTTGCACAGGTCTGCTCACAAGCACGGAAAGGCAACGAGGCAGTGTTTTCCCGCCCCAGGTGTCCCTATTGTGAAGGGCTATAAGCTGCTGGCGTGTTTGGTGGGCTGACCAGGAAGAGGAGGAGGGGGGAGCATCTGTGCTGTATGCCCTCACTATGGAAAAAACACATTAGTGGGCAGGCCTGAGGCCCAAGAATGAACTCAGGCCCCAGCACTGGGGACAGGTGTATTCAGGCCCCAAGCGAAGCGGTGTGTGGGGGAGATGGAAGAGAGTCTCTGTAACCTCACCTAGGCAGACCGAGCACAGCGGGGCTTGCTGGGACCTGGGGGGTGAGGGGTACAGCCCCTTTGCCATCCTACGGGAAGACACACCCTGACCCCCCTGCAAATGGGGCAGCCAGACCAGCTGCCAAGCCCCAGCCATCCTACTACCCTGGGCACCTTGAGGCCTTTGCTCCCCCCAGAGCGAGCCAAGTCTCCCCGCTTCCTTACAGCCTGCCCCCCCCCAGCAGGCACTCATCCCCTCCCTACCCCCCAAACCTGCCCCCCCAGCACAGTAACCTGCAACCTGCC